CGAGGAGACTCCAATAAAGGCGTGCATGGGTCTTTTGCGGACTTTTTTGTTTCGTTAGGCAGGAGAAAAACGAGCAGTTGCTTTCCCCCCCGTGCTTTTTGTACCGTGATTTGACTGAATAATTTGAGGTGCCGCGACAAGAAAGGGTACAACCTAGTCTACTGCGCGTTGCCCGGTCCCTCGCTGAGGTGTTGGTCTTGATACCGGTTTGCCCCTCTCATCTCTTTATACGAGCCATCTAAAGGCGTGCTTAGGTTGGTTTTGGGCGTCCGTTCGATCACGCATAGGTGTCGAGATATGAAAGGCGTGGATTCCCTCTGTTCTCCTACCCAACACAGGTGGTCGTCGCGGTTGCTCCTTTCTCTAAGCGTATTTTCTGTTACAATAAAGGCGTGCATAGGTAGATGTTGTGTTGCCGTTCTGGTTCTGACAGGCGCATGTCGATGACAGACTGAAGGCGTGGGTCGCTTCGCTTACTCAACAACAGTTGTCTTGGCCGGTTACCTTTCCTTTCTCACCTACGCTTCAATAAAGGGCGGCAATAGCGTAGACCCGCGGCCGACACCGTTATCGAGATACAAGGGGCGAAGGTTTGCTCGTTTAACTCAAAAGTGTGGTCGTACAGTTGCGCTCTACAGCCTCAAATAGGCGTGCATAGGAGACGCCGCCCGACCCGTTAGTCGAGGATAAGAGGGAGGTTTGCTCGCTCACCTTATGTAGTGTCGCGCCAGTTGCCCCTCCCACCGTCAATAAAGGCGTGCATGGGGTAACCTGACCGCAACGTATGACGAGGTAAGAGATGCGAGAGGGGAGGCGACTGTCCGCCTCGTCGTAGGTGTCGGAGGGTCCCCACCACGCGCATAAAGGCGTGTATAGGCGGTTTTTCCCGGTCCGTCCGTACACATCGAGGACGGACTTAGTGTTAGGGGTTAACTTTGGGGCGGTGGACCGGCGGATCGGCGGCGCTCGTGGATGAGGCGAGAAGGGCCAAAGTGCAATTGCAAACCCCCGCCTTTTTTTATCATAACCTTAATACTATAATAAATAGTAATAATTTAATTAATTCTAAATAATAATAATAATTAAAATATATAATTATCTATGACTAATTTAATGATCATAGTAAATAGAATTATTTAATTATCATTATAAAAATAATCAAATTATAATTAGCTAAATAATTAACATTAATTAATAATTAATTTAAATTAATCATAAATAAATCCCTTTTTTTTTTTTTAGAATTTACGGGATTTTGGTCGAAGAAGCGCTCGGAAGGCAGAAGTTCCTTCAACGGGCAGTAGCCTCCCGTTTTGTCTTCGATCACAAATGTTAGAAACTTCCGATCCTTTCACGGCGGAGCCTGTTCTTGCTTTGGATCAAAATGTTGTGACTTCGTCTGAGAGGAGGGAGTTCGTAGAAGGAGCCAGAGTCCGACAGCCACGAAGACCGCCGGGAAGGGGAGAAAGGTTTAGAGCTTCACAGCGACGAAACCCGTCGCCATTCGATCAACGGTCCGTTAACTTTTCGACCACCGGGAAGGGGAAAGTCGGGAAGGGGACGCAAAGTCGACAACCAGAGGGAGGCAAAGCAGCGTCGAGCTCCTTGTGGCTTCCGATCATAATGTCGCAACTTTCCGATCCGTTCAGGAGAATAGAGAGAAGCGGAGAAGGCGGGGAGACGGGCTCGGGAGGATTTTTCGTAGAGAAGAATGAGCGTGGAATAGGTGAAGGCCCTCGATCCTTTCCCTTTTAAACGACACGGGCTTCGTCGGTGCAGCGTCGTGGTGGAATGCGACGTCGAGTCTGCGAGGAAGTGGGCGACGACAGAGGGAGTCGTGCGAGGCGCGACGTGGGGCTGTAGGGAGTAGGTAAGATTTGGATTTTTCTCTTTTTTTTTGTACAGCAGGTCAACACACATTAAACATTCATCACATAAAGCATGTGAACATCATATTATAAAAATTTACAGAGTACTTAAGCATGTATCAAAATATCGTCAGATTGTATAATGACAGACAACATAAAATTCAATGAGGCAAAAATACATAGTTTCAAAAAATTACCAAATTATCAATGAAATGTGTAAAACAACATTTTAAGACTTTCATTATACTGTAACACTATTTTTCAACATCCCAATAATTTTCTATTTAATAAAAACTTGGTGAAATGTTTCTAGAAAATATTCAGGAATGTGCAAAATTATCATCTCTATAACATATAAAACGTTACGCGGTGAAAGTTCTACGGTGCAAAGTTATCCCAGTTTTTTTGCTAACGGATGTTGACCTCATTTTTGTATGAGGTCACTTGGACTAATCTTGACCTTAAATTAATTCAATATCCAAACCAATCTAGACTCTAGGACCCTCCTATAATCTCAACTTAGGATTACCTAGATCATAGAAAAAATCCTAAACGAAACTAATGTAAAAGCCAGTCTAAAAGCCTTTTTAGCAAATTTCAAACACTTCAAAAACCAATCAAGATGACCTCCGATGCAGAGTCTGTCATTGCATACTGATGGGACATGTTCTGGAGGCACCCTCCAATTGAGCTTTTCTGAGGTCTCTAACCCAGAAATTTGAATTGAAATCCATAGGTTGTAAAACCCTTAGATATTTACAGCCTATGCCACTGGACTTGCCATCCAGTGGATTTTGACCTTGGAGCTTTCTACAAAGCATCCAATCACTTCTAAACCCTTGATTATGACATATTGAACATTAAACTACATTTTTCTGGACCCACTTTGACCCCCAGTTGACTAGGGGTCAAAATGACCAAAATACCCCTTAGGGCTCAAATGTCAATTTCAAACCAAGTGAACTCCAAATTATTGGAACCTCTTCAATAAATTTTAAATGTTAAACAAATTGATTGCACCCAAATCAGCCTTGGGTCAACTTAGTTGACGAGTCAACTTAGTTGACCCAATGATCCCTTAAGAGCTTAAATAGTCATTTTGATCATTTACCCTCTTGACCCTAAATCAGCTCTAGCAAGCTTCAAATATCAATATCGAACCCATGCAAGCTCTTATGATCATATTCCCCAATGGTTTGGATTTGATTGTATCCTGACTGTTTAGCTGTTGACTTGGTCAACTAAGCTTGAACTTGACCAAACTTGACCCCATTGAGCCTATTCGTTACATTCATTCAAAACCTTAATTTGACCCTCAATCCATTTCATTTTGATGCATGGATATATTTCAAATTCACTTTGAGTCAAACTTAGCTTATTAGATCAAGTTAGCTCATATGCTTAGTCAAATACCTATGGCTTTGGTTGAACCTTCATATATTCTCAATCAATGCTTTCAAGACTTAGTCCAAGCAGCACTCAACACTTTTATATGCCACCTTGGCAGCCAAGTTGACTGTTGACCAGTCAAATTAGTCAACAAGGCATTAGAACCTCTTTAAGAGGTCAAATCACTCCCTAGAGCTAATCCACTCTAATAAAAACCATTCCAGCCATCTTATTTAAGTTTTGGAACCTTCTTAAGGCTTTTACCAGCCCTTGGATGGAGATCCAATGGTTCCATCAATCCTTATGGCCTAAAATGGACAAATGACCTTACATGTCATTTGTCCTTGCGTCCTTTGATCCACCTGCTCCTACCTACCCACTGGACATGTGGCATGATCCTGGAGAGCCAAAGTCATCACAGCCACCTTTGAGCTAAGGAAGTTTGAATAGGGGCAAACACCCTAATTGAGCCGTCTCTCATCATCTACCTTTCTCACCATTCAAGCCCTCCCAAACTTCAAACTCTTTTCCTTTGAGCATTCCAGACCTCATTCCATATATCCAGCTCGATCCAGCCGGTCAAAGCTAGCCGGAGGCCGGATTCCGGCGAGCTTAAGCGAAACTCCGTCCAAGATGATTTGCCGTTGATCTAGGAGCTTTCGAATCAGGGTTTCTTCTACAAAAAGGAGCGTGGACAGCCTACAAATGCAACATGCCATTAAACGGGATAATCCGTCCAAAATCAAGGTGAAAAATTCGAACCCTAGGTTAGATCACACTAGTCTAAATAACTTTTCGAAAAGCTCATATTAAATCACGATTTTAATTCCCAGAATTTATGTTATTTTTAAAGCATTCTACGTTTAAAATTTTACTTAATTTGATTGAGTGTGCTGAGAGAACGAACCATTTTATAATCATTAAAGGCACGGTCGTAACGTGCATGTGCTGCAGTGTTTTCTCTGAGCCGCTGATACACACGATCAACGGTTCCGATCAAGCCTCCCACGGCATTGATCAACGCCGCGTGAATCTCGCAGTTATCTTCCGTCGAGGCGATCTCGCGTTGAATCAGAACCACGTAATCTCAATTCCAGCCGTCTGATCTCTCTTAATCGACATCAAACGGCGGGATTTGATCCTCGCCGTGATGGAGCTGTGCGGATCAACGGTCATCACAATCTGCTGAGCAGATAAGTGAAAACCGCGTTTTCGAACGCGTGCCGCACCGCCGTCCGCGCAGGCGGCTATCGTTTCGCCACGCGTCCAGTCCGCCGCCGCCGCATTTTTCTGGACGAATTGGGAGACGCCACGTGGCGATCCGCGCCGCCGTTTCTTTTAAAACGATTTAAAAATCATTTTAAATCATTTTAAAAGCAGAAAACTTTAAAAATTATTAAAAAATATTTATAACTCCAAAAATTAATTTTAAAGCATCAAAATTCTCAGAATTTTAAAACCTTTCAAATAAAATTAAAATTACTTTAAAATATTTAGAATATCTTAAATATTTAAAATACTTTAAAAATTTAATATTTTAATTAAAATGAATATAATTAATTAATAATTCAAAATAATTTATTTTTGGGAAAATTTATTTACATCACAGAGAATATTTTTAA